TTTGGTAACTTGGGTAAAATAAGTTAATTTTACCAATTCCATTCAGTCAATTGAACTTTAATCAGTATAAATAAGTATATCACAGTTATATGCAGCATTCTTCCAAACGTATTTAACTTATTTAAATGTATCTGAATACAGTAAGCCTAAATTAAATGGTTCATTTTCTGTGGATCATCTAATTGTTACTGCTGTAATTAAGTTGTGAACTATAGCCTGCTTTATGTGACTCACATCAAGTCTTTGTACTTTGGGGGATCATTAAAAAATGAAAATCATTAAATTACCTAAAATACTACACAAATCATTGCAGTCATTACTGCATTACTGCATTTTCGAGTTGGGTTTAATTCATGGAATTGAGGATATTTTTGAGGATTCATTTATGTTAACTTACTTCTTTTATTAAGATAGGTGGTTAGGTTTTACAGTAATTCAGTAAAATGAACAGTGTGGCGTAATAAATCCAGTTTTACCACTTTTATTTTGAAGTCGGTTCTATTTTTAATACTCAGGCACTGACTCTAGGGATGGAAACGTCCACCACTTCAGGCTGAAATATCTCAACAACCATAGGATGCACTGCCATGTAATTTGATACAGACATCAATAGTGCCCAGTCTGTGGAACCTGATAACTTTGGTGACTATCTGTTCTTTCCTCTACTGCCACCATGAAGTTGACATTTGTGATTTTCAGTGAAATGTCCAGCAGCTATTCGATGGATTTAATGTAGCGGAGCCTTTCCAACATGCAGCAGTACCCTAACGAACCTGTATCACCTGTGTTCACCCTACTATTGCATGATGATGGCTGGCTTTCAGCACTATTCAAACTTGTGAATTACTTTTTGTGGTAATTCATGATTTAGTTTCAGTTATTGGTGTCAAGTATTTGTTTATTTTGGAAGAACTGAGCCTTCACGTCAGCTGTACGTCAGGTGATGACTCCCCTCCTCCTGAAGCTTTAAAGGAACAGCAGCTGGAGCTGTCTCACTCATCCCTCCTGGTACCATTGATGGTCCTGTCCTAGTGGAGACATAACCAGCTGGTGTGCACCTCTGTGGACTTCTGTATGACTCCTTTATAGCTTTATAGAACACAGCATCTACAGACACCAGGTACGTCTGATTTTATTTTATTACTTGTCAATATTATTTTAATATTGACAAGGCTATTTTCACACAGATGAAGATAATTAACTTGTCAGTCCAGATTATTTATATATAGTTTTAGCTTTTTTTAATTTGTGAAAAGTTTTTTATTTTTAGTTAAAGTAAGTCTCAATAACACAACCATTAGACAGAGAGTTAAAATCAAATCAAATGTATTTATAAAGCACATTTAAAAACAATCCTTGTTGACCGAGGTGCTGTATGATGTGTGTCTGTGTGTGATTAAGATAACTGGACCTTTATGTGCTGTTATTATGTGACACTGAGCAGCTATTCCAGTTCGATAAAAAAACAACTTTTTACAGAAAGCTCCTACTTCCTTCTCCTCAGTGCCTTTCAGGTGAGACCCACCCAAAGCAGACAGATCAGCTTTCATCCTTGTTTTATTGTAGAGCTACTTTGTTTTGTCACTGCAACATATAAGGAGCTGTCTGATCTCTGTGTACAAGTTGAAACTTGGCTGAACAAAAAAATAATTGAGTCAACCTAACAGGATCAAGAGATAAGCTCTATGAACACATTTAAACAAAAACTAAATTAAATGAAAATTATGGATCCATATTCAAATTTTTTCAATGTCTTTTATTCACCTTAAAGCTTCAGTTTCAGTAATTCCACATTTTAAATCATGCCGATTTCACGTCAAGTAGTTTTCCAGAACATGGCGTAAAAAGCTCTAATCTGCAATCTAAGTAGCCCCTCACCAATATTTGACTTTTGTACGCCTCTTCTCCTCCACCTCTTTAATGGTTTTATTGCAGGTATTAGCATGTGAGCTGTAGCCCGGTGGTGAATGAACCATGGACGAAGCCAGCGCCACCATCTTCATCACTGTTCAAAAGATCTACTACCCACTCCTGTGCATCATGGGTATTCCAGGTTCGAATCTTGTCGCTTTGTTTGGTTGGTACCAATGTGCGATTGGGCATAAGGTTATAGGCTACTAATTTAATAATAATAATAAATAATTTAATAGGCTGTTCTTGATCAATCACGTTTAGCTCACTCTGTACACCCAGCCAGTATTCAGGAATGCCTTTTTAGTGAGACCGTTCATTTGGCTCAGTTCAGCAATAAAAAATAAGAAAAGAAATTTGGCTCTCAGGCAGGAGCCAACTAGGTTTGTCCGTTCTGGGCTACTGTAGAAACATGGCGGTTCAACATGGCCTCCATCGAAGGCGATCCACGTCATCTATAGATAAAAACGTCATTCCCCCAAAATGTCTGTTTATTTACACACTGGAATAGATTATCACAAATTTTTGTGTTCCTGTCTTCCAGCCAACCTCTTCACATTCTACATGATATGCTTCCGAAAATGTGGCATGTCCAACACAGCCATTATTTACCTGAGTTGCCTGGCTATTGTGGACACCTTTTACCTGGTGTGGGTGATCCTTATTGACTTGACCCTCACCTTCTGGCTTCTGCAACCCTTCTGGCACTCCAACCCCTGGTGTGGCATCTTGGGATTCCTGCAGTACGGATCACTCTACAGCTCCTCCTGGATCGTGGTGGTGTTCACCATTGAGCGCTACCTCGTCCTCAGAAGCACAATGGCCAAGCAGCACTTCTCCCAGGCCTGGGTCACTAAAGGGACCTGTGCGGCTATCGTCCTGGTGTCCCATCTTGTCTCTGTGCCACTGGGCTGGATCAACATAGTCACACCTGTCAACATTACCGTGGATGGGGAGAATGTGACGCTGCCCAGGTGTCTTTACCGCAATGAGGCCTACACTACTGTTATAGTGTGGATAACCACCTTCCTCTCAGGGGGAATACCCATTGTGTTGGTCATCATCTTCAACTACCTCATTGGGTACCATCTGTCCCGCGCCAGCAACCTCTTCACTAAGGAGGAGCGTCGTGCCATGCATGGAAGGAGTACCAGGGGCATGTTGAAGAGGACCATCCTGCTGCTGGGTACTGTCTCTGTGGCCTTTGTTGTGCTCAGCCTGCCCCGCTTTGTCACATACTGCATCCTGAGGACCAAGTACAACAATCAGAACTTCAACAGGAACAACTACAGCATTCCCATCAATGTGGCTGGAGACTTGGCTAATATGCTGCAGAACCTCAACTCCACCACCAACTTTCTGCTCTACTGCATGGTCAGCCGGCGCTTCCGGCAGGAGCTGGTCCAGGTAGTGACTTGTAAGGTGAAGGCCCGTGAGCTGGGCTCTGTCCTCACCCATACCACCATGAAAGTGTTCTCAGTTGTGAATCATAAGGCCTCGGTATCCAGCAACCCCATGACTGTGGTGCTAACCAATCTCAAACAGACTGAGTAGAAAGGATATGGAAGAGTGGACAATGATCAGACGTTCAAAATAATTATCCTTCATGCAAAAGCATTCATTCTTGACCTTGGAAATTGTATGAAAACAATCTTAAGGCTAACTTACTAGCTTTTTTCTGGGCAGTCAACCACACTTTTTCTTCATCAGCGAATACATACTTAGGTAAAAACTAAGGCCCATGACAACCACAAGAGCTATGGAAAAGGCTAGTTAATGTACCTTAAGTTAAAATTATTTTATCATAAAATTTGTGTTTTTGTTTTTAGCCACCTAGCTGCATTGGTCTAGGAATGGCCAAGTTGGACCATGAGTTCTGTACAGACAGAAATATCTCCACCACCTTTTGATGTATGTCCATAAAATTTTGTACAGACATTCATTGACCTCAGAGGATGAATCCTAATGACTTAAATCAAACTCTTGTCCAGCAAATCATGCAGTTTCAAATAAAGTTTACACTTATCCAGTAAGATATTTCAACATGTAGAAGATGGGTTAGTACAAAGCTTGGTACAGACATATCTGGTTCCCAGGATCTCTAGCACTACCATGAGTTTGACACATGGTTTTGAGTGATATAGCTCAACAACTATTGGATCGCTTGTCATTCATGGTCCTCAGAAGATGAACTGCAATAACTTTTCAACACTCTCCATTTTTTTTTTTTTTTTAATCCAATACTTACAAATTGGCGTTCCTCAGTTCCTACTTTGTGTTTAGTGTTGCAAAATTGTAGCATGCTAACACCCTAAACTAAGATGGTGATGAACATGATAAATGTTAGCATCGCCACTGTGCTCATATTAGCATTATAACATTAGTATTAGTAACTTCAACTTCACAGTACAATAAAGATGAAATACGAATGTTGATGACTTTTGATGACACTATTGTGACAATAGATAGTGATCAGGAGAAACTTCAAAATGCCATTATAAGTTATAGTTAAGATTCACAGATTACCAATATAATTGCCGATATAGTGAATTTAAAAACAAAACTCCCCATTCACTGCCAACAACAGTCAGGAATTAACCACCACACAGTGAAGAGACTTAACTGTGATTTATTTAAGAGCAAAGCTGTGGAAGCTGCAAGCGAAACACGCTGTTCACTCTTAAATAAATCACAGTAAAGTCACTCCAGTGTGCGATGCTTAATTCTTTTTTTATAGTGAATTTGAAGTTGGAATGAAAATGTTCAATGTGGATTGTCGACCAATGTGACTCTGCAAAAGTACTCAGAAGGCTGTTTTCTTAAACAAATAACTTTATAAAGAATATTTTTGTTAAATATTCTTTATAGCTGCAGTCGGTAACTTTTATACTGAAGGTTTTTGGTTGGTAGCTCGAGGATAGTTTATTGTTGAGTTTCATTCTTTCTTGGCTTTGATTGGTTAGTTTCACAGATTATCTGTCTCATGTACTACTGGTAGGATATAGTGAAAGTTTCAACAAATATGACAAAATGTTATTTTTTATAAAAGTTAATACCACACTTCAAAATAATTTAACATATACATTGTCAACCAATTTTAGTTGACATTGCTGAGAAAGCTTCTTCTCTTGGACTCTTGGACTTGTGCTGCTTGCCACAGTGTTGTTAATCACAGCGCAGTCTGTTAAATAAATTCTACAGTGACACCAATATATTTACACAAGCATTTTATTCTGCATTATATACACAACAAAACAGTTTTCATATTGCCATATATCACATAAAATAGTTACGATACGATACATATTTGCAATAGGCCAATATCTGACATATCAGTCGGGCTCTAAATTGTAAGCTCTGAGTCATCCAGGTCATGTGAAGTTGTAAAAGGAAAGCAAATGGATCTGCTTTCTTGCCTTGTTTCTGCTCATCCAAAACTGCTACATGACATTCAGTAGTAAAGATGAAAAGGTGATTTGTCCCAAATAAAATTTAAATACAAATGACCAATGCTGCAAATGATATTCATGTAGATGTCAGGTCACTTGTCCTCCTTACCAAGGGTTGGATGAAAATAACATGCCCCCTTTCAAATCAAAGAAACAGTTCAACCTGTCTGGCCACACAAGGCCTGCCTCTCTGAAGAAACACCCTGGCAGTTGCAGTCTTAATGCCCCGCATTATTTGCATAAATGGGTCACGAGACTTCCCTGCTTTGCATGGTGGGAATATTTCCTGTTTGCCTCAGAACAGGTTTGTGCTGTGGCTGACGAAAAAGCAGGTCTAAGAAAAGGTAGGTGTGGGAGTTCGGTGAAGTTCTGCTTTATTCTATGTGTGTGAATTTATAAAGGAAAATCATACCGGGAACTTTGAAGGTAGTTTTTCTTTTTCATTTTAGAAGGCATACCTGACATACCTTTGGATCGGTGATTTTAACCTTTGTACTAGTTTGAAGCGTTCGTGTTGAAATGTTACTCAAGCTCAGCTCTAAAGGTCATGTTTCACACCTATTCAGTGAGAAATACTCTTGAGAATAGTTTATACTTTGTAATGTTCATTCTAATTTTTTATCTGTTGTTTATTTTGCAAGGTGTGTATTTTCATTAGTGGTGTTGGTAGTGGCTTTGTTGTTGAAAGAACACTTTGAATTCTTCCGTTGAAACTACAGTTCTTGCTTAATATGTAAGGTATGTGTCTCTCTTTAAGTTGCCGCTCTCTATTAAATTCCTTTAACGTTGTTTTCATTTTCACTTCACCAGAGGTGACAGACACTTCCTCAGTGACAAAATGGACTCTTTTAAAGGTAGGAAACAAAACCTTGACACACTCTCAGCAGTCAGGAATCTATCTAGCTTATCTAAACGTCTCTCTGAGTGAAATGCAAACCTGTTCTGTTTTCTCTTGTCATCAGGACCTTGTCCTCATCAGAGTGTTCCAGTTGAAATTGATGAGAGCAGTCTGGACTTGGTCGGGCCTCCCCCATGCAAACAGTGTATTGGGGACACAGAGACCAGCAAAAGGCTGCAGGAATACGACTGTGAGCAATCCAAGGGGGCAGTGCACGATGCTCACCATTGGGGAGTCCCTGAGGACCAGCACGAACCCAGAGCAGCCTGTTACCCTGCCGCCCAACCTCGTTTCATCCCCCCTTCACACTTAGGACAGATGAACCCCCCCTACCCTGCAGGTCTCAGAGAGAAGGAGCTGCTGTATGAACAGTATCTCAGAGTCAACAATAGTAGAAGTTTTGCACGCCCTTCAAACTATCCCCAGGATCGCTCTATGGAGGAGACGGAAAACTTGGAGCCCCCTCAAACACTCATGTCTCTTAACTTCAAACAGTGTGTCCCATCTCGATACCCTGCACCACGTATGCCCGGTCAGTGCAGCATTATCATTAGAAACATGAAACTTTATCTGTCAGTGAAAGAAATCATTAGATTTTTATTGTTACTGTGAATCACATTAGATACATGAGATCTTTCAGTGGATGATAACAATGTCAGTTGACCCAAATAAAAATAAAAAAACATATGTTTGACATAATAACTATAATTATTACACAAGTGCCATGGGACACTACCACCCTCCACTGAGACCACACAAATGAACTGATGTTAGGGCAAGAAGCTCATTAATGCAGTGTGAGCAGCTGTGCATTAGGAATTAATACACTAAAATAATAAATAGGCACAAAATAGATGTAGATTGGTTGCTAATATTTTATACTTGATGGAACTCTAATATTTAAACATATTGTATTATATGTTTGTTTGTTTGTTTGTCCATGTTTTGAGATATCTTTCTCTGAAATGTATTCCTACACCACTACTGCAATGGAGGTGAATAGAATTGGTGGTGTTCACATCATTGAAGTGTAATATTAAAAAACTCAACAGAAACAATGTTAGCTATTGCTTTGGAGGTAGTTCCATTGAAATCTGTTCAATGTTTGGATTATGCAAAATAGATAGGACACTGTTTTGGAAAGACACATTGTTGCTAATTCTTTAAAATGTCATTTTCAGTGCAGTAACCACCGCAAAATTAACTTTCGTCCACTTCCATTGTGTTGCTATGAAAGAAATCAGAGACAGATATCTCTAAACGTGAACAAACAGAACCAAAATTACCAGGTCCGGAAGTGAGAAGATTTGTCTTTTAGTCAAATCATGACAAATCATTTGGATGAACTGACCCTTCAAATGATACTATGTAACTTTTACAAGAAGAATAACACTCTCTAACACACTCTCCCTCTGAAAGAGTGAATTCATAATCAATAAACTCAGTCTTGAATGAATCAGCTGAATTTGGTACCCTGCTGCTACAGCCTGACTTGGCCTGGTAATGACCGGTAGCTTATGGTGGCTAATGTTAGCAGACTTCAGATAAATATTGCTGTATTTCTACTATTAGTTGGTTAGCGGACTTTATGACTCTACTGTACTCGTGCTACTGTTACACTATGTTTTAGCATTTACCATTATCTTGTTGCTGTCTCCTTTCATTTCTGCCATGAAATTTTCTGTAGACAGTCATGGTCCACACACAATAATTCAGCTGTATTACATTAGTGGTAATTAATAAATGTTAGCATGCACGCTAAACTAAGATGTATAAGCTCCAGTGTGTAACATTTAGNNGTATGTTTTCATTAGTGTAGAATAACCTGAATATAAGAATTGTTGTGTTTTTGTTACCTTAGAATGAGTTGTTTTGACATGCCGTGTTTCTACAGTAGCCCAGAACAGACAAACTGGCTGTAGATAGGGGTTTTGCAAGTTTCGTGGCCACCATAGTTTCTCCTCCACACTTTCATTTGTATTCAGTTGGTTGAAATCTGCAACTTTACTGGTAGATGCCACTGAATTCTGCACACTGGTCCTTTAACATTGTGAGCATGTTAGCATGCTTCCATTAGCATTTATTCACACTCACTGTGTCTTGTTGTATATTATTTTGTAATCCATACCAAGTTCTCCTTGCTGTTGAATAGATAGGTCACCCTGTCTTAATGAGCTGTTCACCCATTTCACATTAATGACAGTCTCAACGGAGACTTTTATTGTCCCATGGCACTTATGTAATAGCTAGTGTCATTAGTAGTAGGTTATAATGAATCATTTTGGGGTATTATAATGATATATTTTACAGATATTGAATATTATTTAATACAATTGGCTGCAGGCATCATCATTCTTCAAATCACAGCATTGGGTTAACTCCAATGACTGTTTCAAAAGTAGGACAAACAACACAACTACAGGCCTTAATTGGTCTGTTTGATTTGATTCTTCACAGATCCAGTAATTGTAACATCTGTGATAGATTTGGTTTTAAATGTTGCCTCCCCAGCCCTGTTAGGTGTCATTTGGCTGCTGCTCATTGTGTTCCTGTTGAGTCTGCGTGACCTCGTTACTGCTAAATTGGAAACTGTCCAAACTAGGAGTTTTATGTCTGCTCCTACATCTCTCTGCAGGCCACAATCCAATGCCGGGGAGTTTTCCCAGACAGTGTGCATGCTGCCTTCCAGCAAATCTGCCCCGTCTCGATAATAATTATCGTCATTATAAATATGATTACCCAGTGGATCCTCACCAGGAGCCTCAATACCGCCAACAGTCATGGTATGATTCCTGTCCTGTTTGTCATTCTGATCTGATTCCCACAGATGTCATGCATAACTCTCTTTTTCTGATTAATTCCCTCCACAGGAATTCCCCTAATGATGGACTGCAACATAAACAGGCTCCAAATGCCCCCCATGGATCTGCACCTCGGTTTGTGGCCCCTCATAGAGATTTGATGCATGAGGTCAGCGTGGATCGCTCCTTCCAGGCTGGTCCAGGACCAGCCACGAGGGAGATCAGGAGGACCATCTCCCTGTCTAAGGAGTGTAGTAAGTCTCATCGATATCCCTATGTGAACATGTAATGCTGTTTTCCTGATCTTAACGAATGTAACAGGTACAGTTTCACTGACTTTTCATTGACAGGGAATGTTTTCATCACATATTCATTGGACACGGCAGATGAAATGCTTACTTTCGCCAAATTTCTGACCGATCAGGGGTTCGAAGCAGCAGTAAGTCAGGTCAATTGTCTATCACCTTTGATTGTTTTCATACAAACACTCACACCCCTCCAAACTCTCAATAGATCGACATCTTTGATAATCCAGTCCGAAGAATGGGCATCACTAAATGGATGGACAGATTTTTGAATGATGTAAGTCTGATTGTTGAATCTGAGGTGAGAATGAATCAAGCTGCAGTCTTCTGCAAAAGCTAACAGTGAGCTGTCACTCTGCAGAAATCAGTGCTCATCATTGTGGTGATCAGCCCCAAGTACAAGGAGGATGTGGAGGGAGACGGAGACGATGAGCATGGCCTGCACACAAAGTACATTCACAATCAGGTGGGAACTATGATCGACACAGCTGTCAAAGACTTAGGAAGAAATGTCTGTGTGAAATATCGCCCTCTTGTGACAAACTTATGTTATTAAACTCCCAACTCCCACATGCCAGTAGGAGCAGGAGAATGAGGAAATGCCTCCTGGGACTCAAAAACAGGGTTATTAATTTACTAGCTCCACCCAGTGTCCCCACACTCGCAGACCCACAGTGTTAAGTGTGTCACAGGTGCTGTAGTAACCCAGTTGTGGGCCTGGAAGGCTGTCACAGCTCAGTCAGGTGTAGTGCAATCTAGTCTCTCAGTTTAAAACTGTTTTCATTGTCAAAAGAATGCATTAATGTGAAAATATAAAGGCTTCTTGATCATTTTATTGTTATCCAAAGAGAAAATGAACCTTAGTTCCACCCGTTGTGTCTGTCCAGTGTTCATTGCATTTCTCAGACGGCAATGCTTCAGTGAGTTGTGTACATGTGAAAGGTAATCTTGATACAGTGTATCAGTAGCTCCAATTCAACTTACACACAAAGATAAAAGGAGCGGTGTATTGATAGCCTGTATAACTAATAAATAAAACACTTTATAATTTAATGGAGTACCATAAGCACTGATTATCCTCTCTTCCTGCTGGAACAGATCCAAAATGAGTTCATCCAGCAAGGCTGCCTGAACTTCAGACTGGTGCCTGTGTTGTTTCCTAATGCAACCAAGGTAAGCACAAGCAATTAACACATTAAAATGTCGGTTCACCAAATTACAAAAACAAAATTGAGCTTTGAAGTTCATTCTTGACACTTGGAAACAGTATATTTACACCCAAAGTGTACTTAGAGTGTACTCGTATGGGTGGGGGAAAAACAGATTAATGTCAGTGTCACTCTATGATAATTCATTGCTGCACCAACAGTCAGAAGTTTAGTGGAGCACGAGCTAACTTAAGTATTTTGTGACCCCCAGGTTAGGAATGGTAAATGGATGGTAAATGGACCTGTACTTGTATAGCGCCTTTCTAGTCTTCCAACCACTCAAAGCGCTTTTACACTACATGGCACATTCGCCCTTTTCACCCACATTCACTCAGGGTGATGCGTAAAGGCCTTGGCGTGCGGATCAAACAGCAAACTAACTGCGATTGCATACACATGCACACACCAATGGCACGGGCAGTGCGGGAGCAATTTTGGGGTTAAGCTATCTGGGGCCCAAGGATACTTCGAACATGGGGTACCAGGGAGCCGGGGATTGAACCAACCACCTGTCGGTGCTGGATGTACGGGGACGGACCCGCTCTGCCTCGGAACCACTGCGCGTATACTTACTGAGAGGTTTGTGAAAACTGCTTCACCCTACTGTGTATTAAGGGCGTCTGGTCAGGTCCCCACTCTCCACCATAAGGCAGCTAACAGCCTGGTCGCCCATTAGATACTGTAGCATAATCTTGCGACAGTCCAGGATGTTGGTATTTTATGATTGCTGTTTCCGCTGCACAGTGGGCATAAACATCTCCCACAGCCGTCACATTGATCGGGGTAGTAGATAGAACTGGGGGTATGACGTCTGTTCTTAGGAGTCCGTATGCGTATAGGCCGAGTATGGGTACGCACTGATTTTTAGGATAGTGTAAAGGACAGAGCTAAATGGAGGTACCTCTCGCCTCGATCAGAGTTGCGGTGCAGCCTGAGCACCTGGCTCGTATCCATAGCTGAGCACGAAAACCTTAACTAACTGACCCACTGTGCCTGTCTCTCTCCTCTGGTGTCCGTGCTACATATCATATTCCCAACTGGCTCCGAGCACCAGGATCTTACCGCTGCGCCCCAAGACACCCAGGGATGCTGCTGCGGGGTCCTGTTTTTTTAGGGGAGGGGGGAGCGTAATCATCCCACAGCGAGGGGGTTGGGGCAGCTCACTCTCACCATTCGTCCCCTCTAGACAATATTTCTCTTGAGAAGGACACTAATAGCCATTATATTTGTTTCTTGCCTTTTAGTAGGCTATGACTCGATGAGACTGTTATCACTTGCAGCAGATGTTTAAGCGTTTTCCTTCTGTCATATTGTTTTTAGATACATTATAGTTTTTCGTTGATTTATAATTCATTTAACTAGTGTGTCCGTCTGATGTCTGCTCATCTTTATAGCTTTGCGAATACCCTCAGTTCTTTCTTCTTTGAGATTTTATTGTAACATTTGAAATGACACAGAAACGTTAAGAATTCGCATTACGGCACGAACACTGTGAAAGCCGCTTGTGGAGTGGCCGCCCCCAGTGTTTATTGGCTTTATAGACGTTTACAGCCGGCGTGTTTTATCTCTAGAATGAAATTTTAATAGTTCTGTAAGCATTTTAAAAAAACATTTGTTAATGCCACTGTGTTTTTTTTTCTTCCTTTTTGGTTTTTTGTTGTTTTTGGTGTGTTGTGTGTGGTGTGTGGTGGTGGTGGGTGGGTGTGTGTGGTTGTTGTGTGTGTTGTGTGGTGTGGGGCGAAGGGGCGCGCGAGAGCGCACCGCCGCGAGGTCCGATTGTGTGGGGGGCAGGGCCGCGGCCAGCGGGCAGCAGGGGGGCCCGGAGAGGGCGGCGCGCGCCATCGGGGGCCGGGGGCCAGAGCAGGCCCACCGAGCGGCGGGGTGCGCCGCGGGGGCAGAGGAAGGAAGGGAGAGGGCGCAGACGGAGAACGAGGCAAGGCGCGGGGCGGAAACCCAACACGGAGACAAGACCAGGGCGCGAGGAGGGAGGGCAGGGAGGCGGGGAAGCCGAGAGAGAGAACGGCGGCGGAAGAGGGCAGGAGAAGGACAGGGGCGCCACGGGGTGAGCGCCCAAGCGCAGGCGAAGGGGACAACACAAAGAGGCGAGAGAGCAGGGGGACACGAAGGAAAAACAGAGCGAGGAAAGGGAGAGCCAGGGCGCAACACAGCGCGAAAGGGGGACACACGGACCGGACGGCGCCGCGGGGCGCCTAGCCGCTGCCGGGGGGGGGGGGGAGGCAGAGAGAGGGCCAGGGGGAACAGGGAGAGGAGGGACGGGCAGAAAGGGAACTCGCCAGGAAGAAGGCAAGGGAGAGCAGGAGGACAAGCACCGGAAGAGAGAGCAGCGGGGGGCACCGGGAGAAGGAGCGGGGAAGCGGGGCAGGGCCACGGGACTAGGCGCCGACACGCGGCACACCCGGGCGCAGGAAGAGGGCGGCACAGCGAAGGCCACGAAAGCGACCACGGGGCGGGAAGGGGGGGGAAAGCCCGAGAAAAAAAGGCAGAGAGGAGGCGAGAGAAAGAGACCGGAAAAAAGGCACAGCCAACCACAGAACAGCCAGCCCAGCCGGGTCACGGAGGGGGCCGACCCGAGACACAAAGCGCCGGCCAACAGCGGGTGGCCCAGCAGGCGCGAGAGAAAGCAAAGGAAAACAGGGAAAAAACGGGTCGGGAAAGAGCAACGAGGAAGATGTTAGAGCGAACGAGAGGAAAACAGGGAATACGTTGCTTTAATTATAGTCATGTGTTCCTCATTATAATTACGGCAGGCACACGTAAGGCGGGACAGGGGCCGAAGGCGAAGGGGAACTGGGCGGGGGCAATGGGCTTGCAGATAGGGAACAGCAAAGAAGAAGACGCAAGGAGAGGCAAGGCGAGACAAGGGAGAGCAGAAACCGGGGAAACAGGAAGGAGGAAAGGGCAACAGGACGACAAACGGAGAGCGGGAGCGAAAATGACAAGAGACAGAAGTAAAACGTCGGATACAGACGGCGCAGGGAGAACAGCGCGAGGCGAGGCAGAGCCGAGCGGCAAGAAACCAGGGGGCTGAGGGAGGGGCGCGGCGCGGGGGCGCAGGAGACGAAGGGGGAGTGTATTGGTTGTGATGTTCATCGGATATCTAGATATGCTACTATTTCCCCGCAAAGACGCAGCGGCACCTTGTGTGTCAGATGTGCGCGGCGGGACAAGAAGCTGAAACGAACACCATAGGACAGCACTGGACTGGATAAGACAACTGCCAGCATTTGGGTCTGTTGAGTCAACAAACAAAGCACAAACTGCACTAACACATTTCATAGTCGAATGGACAACGCTAAAGAAGAAGATCGTATACACAACCACAACATACAGACAGAATGCACTCATTTCTCTTATCTGAAAAAGTCTACCAAAAGATAATATACTATATTGCACAAATTAGCATATTCATATGATGATATGACCAGGAAGAGGTGAACAGAGTCAGTTCGTGTTGGTGGTATGTACATGGGGGTTACGTAATGGTACGATGGTGGAATATTGAAGTAGTTGAAGCTCTGTGAGAAATGAGCACGGCGAACGAGATGGTTGAAAAAAGTAGCTGAGTTAGATGTGAACTCTCTGTATACAGCATTATGCAGTGTGTAATTTAGGTGTGAGGAAGAAACAAGTGACGGGTATATAAAGAAACGCATGATCAAGATTTGTCTTATCGCTAGTCAGGAAATAAATGGTCTTTAGCTGCAGTAGCTTTAACAGTATAGGCGGTGTGGTGGCGATGAAAGTCGGAGATTGTTATTTAATAGCATGAGGGGGGGTGGTGATGAAGTAGGAATAGGAGGAAGGATAAGTGATGTATCATGATGTATTAGAATCCCAGAGTTTAACAAGAGTGAAAAGGAAGAAAATAGAAATGATGTCTTCCAAGCCAGCACTAGCGCGCCTGCTCTAATGGAAAAGTTTGTACCTCAGTGCTAGTTAGTTAGTGGCCGAGCCTGTATGCTGGCGGGCGCGGAAATAGTTCAAATGTCTCCTCAGGAAATGGTTGAGTGGTGCTAAAGGAGCACAACATAGTGAAATCTGTAGACTAGCAAAAGAGTCGCTGTACGAGTAATGTGGAGGTATTATTAGGAGAATTTATTTATAACAGTAAGTATGTGTATTGTGGATTTATGTGTGGAGTGCGCGTTCAACATGTGTATTCGTCTGTGAGTGCGATGACGTGAATGTCTGTCAGAGGAGTAGATGGGATAAGAAAGGACCTCGGTATAATAAACAGGAACATAACAAAGAGGACGACTTGCTGTGTG